CTCTCCCTCTTTGCATTGGCTTGCCTCAGCACCGCACCCAGCCCTGTGTCTAGGGCATCGGTGAACACCATAAAGGGCTTGTCAAAGACTGGTTTTCCCAGCTCCGGGCCCTTGACCGGATCCTCCTTCAGCATGCAGAGAGCCTTCTGGCACTGCCCAGTCCAGACCAGCTTGTCTGGCTTAGCCTTCTTGCATAGATGGGAGCAGACACAGAACTAAAATGGGGCACAAACCTCTGGTAGTGCCCCACCATCCTAATAAAAGCCTGGGCCTATTTCTTAGTCTGGGGAGCAGGCCAGTCCCCACCTTGGCCAGCTCTGGCTTTAGGCAGCCGCTCCCCACCTTGTGGCCCAGGTTCAACACCTCTGCTAATTCCACCATGCATGTCCCAGCTTTTACAGTCAGCCCTGCATCCTGGAGGTGACTCAGCTCCCTCTTCACCTGGGACACATGGTCCTCCCAGATCTGGCTAATGGCACAAATATCATCAATGTACGTTAGGGTAAAATTCACCATCCCCCTCAGTAACTGATCCACCTGGCGCTGGTAGGTGACCAGCATCTCCTTGAACCTGAAAGGTAGGACCAGGGACTTGTACAGCCCCAAAGGTGTGACAAAAGCTGGTTTCAACCTGGCATTTGGATCCAAAGGCACCTGCCAGTAGCCTTTGGTGACATCCCTGGTCATGGGGTACCAAGTCCCCTCCAACTTGTCTAGGATCTCATCAGGCCTAGGCGTGGGTAGGCATCAGACATGGTGATGGCACTGAGCTTTCGATAGGCCACACAGAATCAGATCGACCCATTTTTCCTGGGGTCCAGCACCATGGGAGAGGCCCCCAGGGCTGGTGGATGACTGGATCACCCCTAAAGCCAGCATGTTTCTGACCTCTCCCTCCAGGGCCTGGGCTGTGTTCCTAGTTACCATACTCTGAATGGGGCACACCTGATGGGAAGGCCAGCTCCCGTCTCCACCCAGTGGACAGCTCCAACTCTAAGTGAGCCCAGGCCAGTTGGAAAACAGCTGTTGGTAGGAATGCAGTATCTTTCTGATCTCTGCCTGCAGGGCAGGGGTGAGCTGGTCAGAGAGGGGAATTGATTCCAGCAAGGGGCTGGCTCTTCCCCCGTTCTTCCATTGAACGCACACGGCCAGTACCAGCCTCTCCCTGTCACAGTACAGTTCCATCATGTTGACCTGGTACCCTCGGTGGCTGAGCCTGGTTGGGCAGTTCTAGCAAATTATGTCAACCTACGGCCACCACAGTTATTAAATCACTTGTGTGCGCACACACTTGCTCCTTGTGTCAGCGCTGCACATCCTCACCAGGACCGCTTGTATTGATTATATTGTCAGTGTGGGGCACTGTGGAATGGCTCCTGAAGGCCAGTAACAGTCAATGTAAGCAGCGCAGTGTCTACATTGACATTGCATCAACCTAATTACGTCAACCATGACTCTTTGCCACTCGGCTAGCTGGTGTCACTAAATTGGCATAGTGAGGCACTTACTTTGGTGGGAGTCAAATTTAAGTCGAAGACACTTGTAAGCTGCCTTGTGTTCACTTAGCTATACATCGACCTAACCGTGGAGTGCAGACCAGGCCTAAGGATGACTCCTATTTAGTCTCCTCCTCACCCACAGTAGTGGTCTCTAGTAGAGGTAGATAAGCTGACTGCTTCTTCCTTGTTTCCACCTGCTTTTTCATACTTTCAGGCTCTTCTTAGCAATCTTTGATGACAGCAAAGCAGCTGGAAACTAAATATCAAAAGCCAGCAGAGATCAAAGTTCGGGAATCGCTGCACTAAGCAATAAAAAGTTAGTTTAAGTATCACAAACAAATCAAAACTATAAAGGTAGCCTAGCAAAGATTATGCTAGGCATCATTAGAAATCTCTGGGCTCTAAACACTGGGGTTTTGCAATTCAATCATTGTTTTCTTGCTATAGTGCTGACATAGCTAGAAAGCTTGTTGCTTCATTGCTTTTCTATTTTAACTGTCTTTTAGTATTACTATTGCTAACAACATTATGGGTGGAATAAAACCTTTCAAAACACAGAAATTCAATTTCAAGTAGGTCATTCACTTACAAATAAACTGTCATTTATGTTTGTCCCATGAAGCATCCTTTAACACTAATGAGGCATCATGAAATCATGCAGAATGTGATTTGAGCAAAGCCAACTAGTCTGAAAATACCATAGTTTAGGGGTGAAGTTAAGGTTTCAAAAGCAGTGGCTGTTGCAGAGTTGGGTTTTTAAAAATGTTTGACATTAAATAACTATTCTTGTAAAAAAGGTGTGACAAAGCCTTGCTTTTTAATGCTCTCCCCTGTCATTTTTTCTTCACTGTCCTCCTCCAACCTACAAAATAAATGATTAATATTAATCACACACCATGCTTGTCTTGGTTATACACCTAAAGGGTGAAATAAAAAGCCCTTTTAAAATAAAATGCTTTTAAACACTATTCAAGATACTTAGTTTCCATATCAGTAACAATATAGTTATTAACAACAACAACTTAGCACTAAAAAAAAAAAAAAGAAGAAAAATCAGATTCACTTATCAAAACCCTATGCCAAGGGTTCTATAATTCTCGTGAAAAAAAATCAGTTTATGTGGAGAAACCTACAAATAAAAACTCTACATTAAACATGACTAACAAGTGGCACCAGTACCTCACTCATGAAAACTAAATTTTTCTTCACAATTTAAAGAAACTGTTTTTGTGTCACAAAGTGTATAGTAAATAAGTTTTTTTTCCCTCTTAAAAAACCTCATACTTTAACTGGTGATCATGCCATTACTTAAAAAAAAAAAAAAGATACAGTTTCCACAAATTATCCCTACAGAGTACTTAGAAAAGAATAAATTTGGAGTCCTATATAGGATACATGGTCCAAAGTTTAAGTTGGGAAAACAAAGGAAGCATTTCAAAAAAGGAAAGTCAGTTTCTAAAAAGAATGCAGTAAACCCTCAATGTAATAAAATATGATGCAAGATGCTGACTGACTATGCTGTAACACAAGGGGACACCACCTATACTGCAAGTCTACTGACTGAGTTACAGCTGGAATGACTTTGGCCCATTCGCAACTCCAGTATTTACGTTACAAATCTTTCCCAGGGGGAGCTCAACGCCCCTCCCCCACAAAAAAAAATTACTAATTCCATGCTCAAGTTAGAAAATGAGCTATACTTACATCTAGATAAATATTACAAAAACAAATTTATGTATATTAATTGAAATTTCTAAGTGAATTCAATGTGTTCTCAAACCGATTCTATGGTCATTTACAGCATTGCAGTTTGTGGATAGGAGTAAGTGTAGAAGCAACAAAAAAATTAAGCAAATGGAAAATAAATTTTGAATACATATACATAAGTGTTCCTACCAGAAACCTGATTCTAAAATAGGAATGATGATCTTGTTGTATTTAAAGTAGTGGACTGAGGACACAGGAGATGGGGACTCTATTTCTGGCTCTTCCACATACTTCCTGTGTGACCTTGCACCAATCTTTAATCACTGAATCAGATCATCCATCTGTAAAATGTGGGCATTTTATTAATGTTTGTGAGATGCACAGATACTAAAGTGAGGCACGCAAAAGAAAAGCAAGTCAGACAAAAAATTACAATCCGAGAACAAAAATATACCGTAAGACCAAAGTACCCAATTTACTCAACAGCTTAAACTTTCAATATCAAATAGCCACAATGAACTGCTTGAAAATGAGTAACAGATGAAGATTTATTCACTGAAATTTGGCTAGTAGTTCTAAATATTAATTATTTTTTAAATGAAGCTCTGTTCAAGCCTGTTAAAACTGAACTACTCATTTGACATTTTCATCTTTATGAATTATTTGTCCAGCTCTAGCCAGAGCTAGGGAACTACTGAAACTAAGGCAAACTTTCTAAAATGCAACATTTTACTAAAGCCACACTGAAGACATGCCATGGGGTGGAAGAGAAGAGTACGTCCTTTCTTCACTAATGTCCATCTCCAATTTGGACCCAATTCTGAAGTTGAGAGGAATTTGGAACTTGAAAGTAATGCAACATCTTCTCAATTATCTATAAATAGGAGATTTCTCACTTTTAATCTGCTCGTTCATTCAATAATGTCATAAGCCAATATTTGTGACATCACAACCACTTTGACAGTAGGGAATTTACTACCACAATTGGTTTACACAGAGATGCAATCCATCAGGAGACGCAAAAGGTAAAAAGCTTCTATTAACATTACCATTAGAGTAATCAGCATAGATTAGTATCTGTGGAACACAGAAATGTGTGGTTTAGGTATTTTTAATGCAACTGCCTACCACACTTTGATATTATGTAAATAACTGACACTGTATATATTTATAGTCTTATTTAGATTTTTTCAGTTATTTTACCTAGTTCATGACATTAGAGACATTTCAAATACTGTTGGACACTATGTTAGTAATAAGCAAGCCTTGACAAATCCACTTGCCAATGGCAAACAGTAAAACTTTTCTTGGCGAATTTACTCATCAGTTATTATAGAAGTAAGCTTTCATTTAAACAAAAATAAAGCGTCTAGCCCTTCTGGTAGCAAATAGCTTTCAGAACGTGAAGTAAACAGAGCAATGCAATGGTCTTCCTAAATCTGCATAAGTCTGGCAGTTCATGACTGTTGTATCAAAGACCCAGATATGGGGAAGTTACTCGGGGGGCAGTTACTCTTTTACAGAAAGTTTTAAGTCACTCCACAGTAGCTATTCCAGTCTCAAGGCTGGATTAATCTGTACAACACTTGACCCAACTCTATGAGAGGTGAAGGCTAGTTGATAGCCCCAAATCCATAGTGCACAACAAACCCTACAGAGCTTGCACCCCAACACAGACTTTCCAAATACTGCACCAACTCCTATACAGAAGAAAAAAGTTGGAAATGCTACAACATAGATTTCCATAGCAGGGAAGGATTTACTCTTATAACAGTCGAATTAGCTTCTACACACCTGAGTGTGGTGTTGACTCTGGAGAGTTTCTGGGCCCATCTTTGTTCAATCCCTCAAAAATGGGATGTTTTGAATTTCTAAGGAACTTCAACCACTCATCCCTTCTGTCCAAAGCCATGCAGGGAAGGAAAAAAAAAATCAAGCACCAATAGCAAGGCTTTCAACCAGCAAGTTACTGGATGATTTGTCAATTTATTTTCCCTAGCTTGAAAAAATGGGAAAGCATGGCATTGGTAGGAGATCATAACTATGTGGCTTTTGTTGCTGATTTATTGCTCTTTGGTGTGAAGAGGTCCTTCACTGTTGTATGTTTCAAAATTGTCAAAAAGCCTCTAGATAAAAGGATGAGCACTATGATTTTGTGTGCTAAGTAAAAGAATAGCAGCAAGAGCACAATCACCGGACTTGAACTGTACAAATATAAAGTCAATGAGGAGAGAGATCCCTACAAATCCATATACAACATGAGAGCCTCCCTGCTTGGGGGCACTCAGTTCTAAACAATGTTACAGAAAGTTTTCCAGTAATGTGCCACGAAGTTAGACAGGACATACACCGCTTGAAATTGTAGTGGAATAGACATGAGAAAACTAAGACTTCAGAAATAGACATGAGAGAACTGAAGTTTCAAGTTACCATTATCAGTTGCAATAATATCGCATTCTGAAGTTCAGAACACTTAAGTGTAAGAATGTAACTTTTTTAGAATAATTTTACAGTTCTAACACCATTCATCCCTAATTATTTTGCAAACTGTATGTACTACAACTGAAATGCAGCTACCTCTGGGGTGGACAGCAGCAACCAGCTGACGCACAGAACATGCATAAAAAGGAATGGTTATCTAAGGCCACCAGAGCAAGCCTCAATTCCTCTGAAAATGAACACAAGTTCTTTAAGATCTCTTTTGTCTGCAACAACAATAGAAAAAGGGGAACATAGTTTTTCAAAGTTTGTAGCAATAGTAGAAGCTATAGTGTAGACAAGGGTCAAGATTGTTTACCATTATATTATCTAACCCTGCTTAATGTTACCTACTCCCTATCGCCTGCAAATATTCACACCGCCACTCACCAATAAAGCGTATGTATATCATCCCCCCAGTGCTGGCATGGAAGGGGTTTATGGGAGCAGTAACAGGTGCATCAGGCAACAGATGGAGACCCTTCACTCCACAGGCACACAGAGATTCAATTTCTGGGGCTGAAATCAGTGGTAATTTTAAGTTCATACAATTCATAGATTATAAAGCCAGAAGGGTCCATTGTGATTATGTAGTCTAACCTCCTGAATAACAGAAGGCATAGAACTTCCCTGCATTAGTTCCTGCTTTAAGTAGAGCATATCTTTTAGGGAGGGGGAAATCTTCACGGTCATGTAGAACCCACCCTTTACGTCTGTGCCCCATGCACACATTTAACTGCCAAGAGCACCAGTCCCCATTTCCTATCCATGGTCTGATACATACAGGTTTGGCAGAACTCAATTTTTTTATATAATTTCAACAGATAAATTAGCTGTTTATTTTAGTGCAACATTATGGGTTTAAACATTTTTCCCATTGTTATCTATTTAAATGTCCACAGCAGGGGCAAATTATGGGGGGAGGGGGGTCTACATTATTTAACAACAGTAGATACTGCGATTCACAACGTTAAAGCTTAAACTGTCAACATAACACGTCAAAACACACACAGTAAACACCCTTAAATCACACTGTGGGTCTCAAGCAGCACTTGGTGTTTTAGAGCTGGAAATACTGTTCTCGTCGGTTTGCCTGTGTACACTGCAATGGGTGATCCCCGACATGTACAGATACAAATCTAACCCTCCCCAGCCTGTGCCGTCTCAGGGGCCAACAGGCTGTGGCAGATGCTGAACCCCTCAGACCCCCTCTCTCCGGCTCGGACAGGCTCGGCTGTGGTTCAGCGAAAGTGCATTGAGGGGCAGGGAGGGCTCCAGAGCTCCCCCAGAGGTGGGTGGGTGTCAGGGAGAAGCTCCCCGGGCAGGGAAGGTCGGGGGGAGGGGGAGGTTGGCTGGGGGGGAAGTGGGGGTCCCCATACCGCCCCATGTACCGCCCCATAAAGCCCAGGGCCGGCGCTACCAGAGACAGATGGGGGGGGCTGGGGTGACCATATACTTAACCCCCCACCGCCCCCCGGCTGCCGGG